ATAAGACACACTTTTACCCAATGAAGTTGCTTAGTGCATGCGCTAAGCCCCAGAACTTTGTGTCTGGTCTCTGGTTGGTCTCCTCCCCAGGCGGCAGCCCCTAGCTCAAGGCATGCCTTGAGCAACTCACCTTGCTGCACTCTCTCGGCAGGGCTGCATGTGGCTTTACTCCCTGAGGGACTCTTGGCAGAGGCTACATGTAGTCCTGCCTCCTGAGACCCCCATGGTCAAGTGGGATTCATCCCAGGGATGCAAAGATGGTTCAACATATGAAAGTCAATTAACTTGATACATCACATCAATAAACTCGAGGACAAAACCATATGATTATCTGAATAGATGCTGAAAAAGCACTTGACAAAATTCAACATCCCTTCATGATAAAGACTCTCAACTAATTACGTGTAGAAGGAAAGTATCTCAACAACATAAAAGCCATCTGTGATAAGCCCACCACCAGTATCATTCTGAATGGGGAAAAACTGAAGGCTTTTCCCTTAAGAACAGGAACCAGACAAGGATGCCCACTCTCACCATTTCTATTTAACATAGTACTGGAGGTACTAGCCTGAGCAATCAAGCAAGAGAAAGAAATAAAGGGCACCCAGATTGGAAAAGATGAAGTCAAACTGTCTCTAATTGCAGATGACATGATACTATATATAGAAAACCTAAAGACTCTATCAAAAAACTCCTAGAGTTGATTAATAATTTCAGTAATGTTGCAGGATACAAAATAAATGTCCCCAAATCAGTTGCATTTATATTCTCCAATAATGAGCAAACAGAGAAATCAAGAGAGTAAGCCCATTTACTACAACAGTCATAAAAAAAAGGAAAATACCTAGGATTCAATTTAACCAAGGAGGTGAAAGATCTTTACAGTGAGAACTACAAACCACTATTGAAAGACATTAAAGAAGACAAAAAATGATGGAAAGACATTTCATGCTCTTGGATTGGAGGAATTAACATTGTGAAAATGTCTATACTACCCAAAGTGATCTACAGATTCAATGCAATCCCCATCAAAATACCAATGACATTCTTCACAGAAATGGAAAAAACAATCTCAACATTCATATGGAACAACAAAAGACCCCTGATGGAGTTTGTATGCGTTGTCCCCTCCAAAACTCATGTGGAAGTTTGATCTCCAATGTGGCAGTGTTGGAAACTGATTGAGTCATGGGGGCAGACCCCTCATGAATGGATTAATGCTCTCCCTGGGGGAGGAGGGGTAGTGAGTGAGTTCTCACTCTATTAGTTCCCACGAGAGCTGATTGTTTAAAGGATCCTGGCACCTCCTCTCTCTCTCTTGCTTCCTCTTGCGATGTGATCTGCTTGTACCCACCAGCTGCCTGCCACTTTTCTGCCATGAGTAAAAGCAGCCTGAGGCCCATGCCAGATGCAGATGTCCCAGAATTGTAAGCCAAATAAACCTCTCTTCTTTATAAATTACCTAGTTTCAGGTATTCTGTTATAGTAACACAAAACAGACTAAAACAACCCCAAATAGCCAAAGCAATCCTGAACAAAAAAAATAAAGCTGGAGGCATAACACTACCTGATTTCAAATTATACTACAAAGCTATAGTAACCAAAACAGCATGGTACTGGCATAAAATAGACACTCAGACCAGTGGAGCAGAATAGAGAACCCAGATATCACCCCTCAGGTTTACAGCCATCTGATATTGAACAAAGGGAATAAAAATGTACATTGGGGAAAAGATTGCTTCTTCAATAAATGGTGCTGGGAAACTTGGATATCCATATGCAGAATGAAACTAGACATGCACCTCTCACCGTGTACTAAAATCAACTCAAAATGTATTAAAGACTTAAGAATGAGACTTGAAACTGTAAAAATTACTAAGGGAAAATATAGGTGAAACCCTTCAGGAACTAGGTCTAGGCACAGATTTTATGAACATGAGCCCAAAACCAGAAGCAACAAAAGAAAAAATAAACAAATGGGACTATATCAAACTAAAAAGCTTCTGCACAGCAAAGGAAACAATCGACGGTTTGAAATGACAACATACAAAGTGGGAGAAAATTTTTGCTAACTATGCATCCAACAAGGGATTAATATCTGTAATATACAAGGAACTCAAGCAATTATACAGTAAAAAACAAATAACCCAATTAAAAAATGGGCAAAGGAACTGAATAGATATTTTTCAAAGGAAGACATACAAATGGCTAATAGGTACATGAAAAAATGTTCAACATCATTAGTCATCGGGGAAATGCAGATTAAAACCATACTGACATATCATCTCACCCCAGTTAGACTGGCTATAATCAGAAAGAATGAGAATAACAAATGCTGGCGAGGATGTGGAGAGGAGGGAGCGCTTCTACACTATTGGGATTGTAAATTAGTACAACCACTATGGAAAATGGTATGGAGGATTCTCAAACAACTACAGATAGATCCTCCATATGATCCAGCAATCCCACTTCTAGGTATATACCCACAGGAATGGAAATCATCATGTTGAAGGGATCCCTGCAGCTCTATGTTCATCACAGCTCTGTTCACAATAGCCAGGATATGGAATCAACCTAAATGTCCATTGATGGATGATTGGATAAGGCAACTGTGGTATATATACACCATGGAATACTACTCTGCCATAAAAAAGAATGAAATTCTCCCATTTGCAACAACATGGATGAACTTGGAGAAACTTATGTTCAGTGAAATAAGCAAAGTACAGATGGATAAATACCATATGTACTCTCTCATAAGTGGGAGCTTAGAGATAAAGAAGAAAGAAAGACAGGCCACAGTGGTGTGTTGGACTTTCAGAGGGAGAGAACATACCTAGGGATACAAAGTGGAGTGGGGAAAGGGAGATGGGGAGGGAGGTCGGGGATAATTGAGGGGATAATTGGGTGGGAGACAGGGGGTATAACCACAATTTGTGGTAATGGACATGCTGCCGGTATGGATCTGGCCATCACGTCTTATGCACATGTGGTGACAATTTGCTTTGTACCCCATGAATATTCATAACCAAGAAAAACAACATTCAAAAAAATATGTAGACCACCTTTGCAAGAAATTTGCTATGAAGGGAGCATGGGGTTGAGGGAAGGTATTTTAAGACAATGGAGACCTGAAGAGATAGATGTAGATGAAGATGGTGATGGGAAGTTGAGATTTCTATCTGTTGGCTTCTCTTTTCTCTTCAGGTAAGAGTGCTAAGAATGAAGAAAGGTCTCAGGAAAGGTAGTGTGTGTTTGAGGGAAGTGGAGATTAGAAATAATTCCAAATAGAGTTAGAGAAACATGGCCAGATACAGGTAAAGGTCCATTTGAGGCGATGATCATGAATTGGTATTAGGTGTAGTAGTAAGTTTCTTTTTTAGCAGCACTGAGCTTCCCATGTATAGGCACAGGAAGCTATTTTCATCCAGAGTTAGGGTTTTACCAGGAGAATATTACCAAAGGACAGAAAGACAAGGGATTTTAGGGTTCTTGTAAGAGAGTGACCAAAATTATAGACCCAGGACTCTTAAGTTGTGGGGAGAGAATTTTTTTTTTCCTTTTTGTCTTTTTTACTGGCCGGTAATGGGATCGCAACCCTCGGTGTCACGCCCGTACCGGGGACCGGCAACAGGATCGCAACTCTCGGTGTTGCGTCCGCACCATGCTCAGCCAGTGAGCAGGAACCGGTCGCCACATGGGATCCGAACCCTCGGCGGGAGCCGGCGCCCCCCCCCCGGGGCCCCCCGGCCCCCCCCGGCGGGGGAGTTTTTTTTGGGAAAAGGG